TATAAAAAATAAATTTTAAAAAATATAAAATTATGATTTTAATAAGTAACTATAACGGCACTTTCAAATACATTTTTAATTTTAAAAAATATTAAAAGTTGTTTGAAAGTAATTGTTAACTGTGATTTTGGCATGAAAAATATATTAGATTTTTAATAAATTTTAAAATAAAAAATATTTTGACAAACAATTATAACTATACATTCAAATATGCTTTTAATTTTAGAAAATCCTAGGATTATGTTAAGATTTATCTGGGAGTAGTTATTAACTGTGATTTTGTCATCAAAAATATATTAAATTTATTTAATATATTTTTAAATAAAAAATCACTTTAAAAATATTTTATGCCACTGTCTCGAATACACGCTTAATTTAACCTACGCATCGTATCTGCACATTTGTCTTAATAAACGTGGTAGCGTTGGGGAGGAAAATTTAATCGTCATGCCCGCGACATTCATGCTGTGACGTCTACCGTACACTCAGCAGATGAATTGCATCGCTTGACACGGAAGGAAAAAAGACATTAAAAAAAAAAAATGAAAGAGTTTACCCACACTTCCAAGCAACTTGCGATGTAGCCGTTCTAGAGTAATATAAAAATATCTTAATAGCTTTATTTAATTTTTTAATACGGTACCATTATCTTTACCATTTAAAATTAATTAATAGTTTAAAATAACATATGTTTTTTTTTTTTGTCTCGGTTGATTATTTTACAACGGTAATAACAGGACACAAAGTATCAAGTACAGGTTTATTCCATTGAATTTTTAAGTTTGAAACTTGAGATCAATAGTAGATTAATTTTTATTCATTTAAATGTATTAAATAAATATGAGAAATATGTCACCAAGATCATTATAGAAAAATGTAGACTTGACTTGTATGAAAATAGAATAACTAGGTTTCACACTAGAAATGTGTTTTTTTCAAATAACATTGTAAACTCCAGCCAAGTTTGTGGTGGATGCAAATATTTTTATTTTATTTTAAAAATAATAATAAAATAAAATTTATTTAGAAATGCGGTTATGATTGTTTTTAAAATATTTTTTATCTAAAAATATATTAAAATAATATTTTTTATTTTTTAATAATTATTTTTAAAAATAATGCATCCAAATGATTTAAGATATAAAAAAATTAATTTTTTTAATAACACGGTGCAAAACAATGTCATAGACTTCGTTCAAGATAAATTTAAAACAAATTGTTTGAAAGTTGAGATGGCACGGTTGAGTCACAACCATGTTGATTTTTTTAATATTGTTTTTAAAAATATCAAAAATAGCATTTGTGTCCCGGGCTGGTTTCGCAAAGGAGGGCCCAAGCTCGATGATGATGGACCAATAGAGAGCCAGAGCCAAGCCTTACGAGTCTGCCGCTCCACTCTCTAGTTTCTGCCCAAACCTCTCTTAAAAACCTATCCACAGCATGTCCCTCAATCCCTTGGCTGCGAGCGAGCTAGTCTCGGAGTCACATGTCTAACTTTTCACTCGCAGATATTATTTCTCTGTTTTTGTTTTCAATCTCTTATTTCTAACCGCCGCCTCCTATGAGGGTTTCTTGAGGACCGTTAGCTTGAAAGGCCAACACCCTATCACCAAATCACTCCTAGATTAGATATTTTCCGGTTTTCATAGATTTCTTGGTGTTTTAGAAACGCAATCAGCATGAAAGAAGATGGAAATTTTTATTTTTTTTCATTGATTCAATCTTTTTTTCCAACAATCTGGTGGGAATTTTGTTTACCAAGAAAAAAAAGCAAATAAATGTGAAATGTGGATGCAGTGGCTCCGCATGTGGAGTTTTTTTTTTTTACTGTTGGGATTTCTCTAGAAAGAATGATCTTGCAGCTATCTATTTTTCTTTCAGGGGTCAATGCTTTTGAAGGAATTTGGTTTGTTTTTGGGAAAAAATAGAAAGCTGATTTTAAACCTAAGACAGGGCAAATGATGTCTTACACTTGATCTCTGAACTTCAGGTAAGTTCACTTGTTGACAAGTTCTTTACTGATGCCCATGTTCTTGTCCTTTATTCTGGTCCTTCATTTCTTTCGAAGGTGCAAGGCTACTGTAATTGCTTCAAGAAAAGGGCAAGAAATGAAGAAGTAGGCTGAAGGGTTACTTTGTTAATCTGTTGTGATGTTCTGAGTTTGAACAGACAGGTTTTAAACTTGTGTATTTTGGTTTGATAAAACAACTGCTGTAAACTAAAGAACGAGCCTGGAGAATTTTTTTAATTTTGTTCTTCGTACACTGCTATCTTGCAACTACAGGTGGAATTATTTTAAATTTTTTTATGGCCACTGAATGATTTGTTAAAGAACGTGATAATTTTGAAATCAATATAGAAATTCTTTGAAAGGTTCATATCTATGTTTTATTTTTTTTTGGGTTATTGATGGTAGGTCTCTGTGCCTGGAGTTGAATGTGAATTTGCTTGCCCGCCTGCTTGCCGATGCTGTTTATATGATGCCTTTGTCCATTTTCAGGCAAGAGAAATGGGTAATAAATCAAAGAAGAATTAAGTGGCCAGGCGGGATGTGTTTAAATGGACAGAAGAACGTATGGATGATGCCTTCATTGATGCCCTTATCCGTCAACAAAGGCTGGGAAACAGGGTTGATAATATGGTGAGGGAATTGCGTGAAAACATCGGCATGCCATTTGAAAAAGATCACTTGAAGAATCGTTTGAAGACCCTTAAAAATAATTTCAAGGAGTGCTTTGACATTTTTAATGGTGCAAATGGTTGTCTGGAGCCCTGAAAATAAAACGTGGGCTGCGAAGCCTGAAATATGGAAAGCCTTTGTAAAGGTCTGTTTACATTCTCTCCTGTCATCCATCTAACATTTAATCACACCATTACTTGTGGAATTGGTGCTTCAAGAATGCTTTATCCTTATAAAACCTAATGCAAAAAAATGTATGACTACACCAATTGCCCATTATGATGAGCTGTCACTGCTTTTTGCAAAAGATAGAGCCAAGTCAAACGGTGCTCATACCACGAAGGAGAAAGCAGACCAATGGGTTGGCTCTGGAAGTCCCTACTTGCTTGATGGTTTCAACTTGCCAAACCAAGTTACACTTAACCTTGAGGGCTCAAACGAGATGAATGATGGGACAAGTCAGCTAGCAACTCCTGATGAAGCAAATTATCAGGCAGATTCTCAAGGATGTTCTCATTCTGCAACATCATTGAAAGGCAAAAAGCGCAAAGCTTCAAGTGTTGATGCAGTTGAGAGGGAGCTCAAAGGCATAAAGGATGCTTAAAGAAGTTGCACGGGCAATTAGGGAGGGAAATCTCATTGCCGAGAGAGGACGCCCCCATGTTTACTCCGAGCAAGAAGTTTTCTCGGAATTGGTAAGGATAGGAGTTGAAACACATCTACGGTACAAGGCCTACACTTTCCTTGTAAGTTCTGGGAGGGTAAGGGCTTTCTTTGGTTGCCCGCCTGGGGAGCGCAGGGAATTTTTGCTGCACATGATGTATAATCCTGATGACTCTTCAACTCTTGATTGATCAGTCTGTGTTCCAATTGAACTGTTAATATCGGCATTGTTCCTGGGAGGGAGTTTTTCAACACAAGTAACTCTGTACAAGTGTTTCTTCTTCTTTTTTTCCTCTGTAGATTTGGTTGGGGAATAGGACAGGTAATTGTAACCCAAGCTTGTGTATACATGATGGCTGATCATTTTAGCATTCAGGTGATTGTTATGGAGAATAAATTAAATTTGACTAGATGGAAGAAAAACCTGAGCTTCCACTGAAGTGCCATTGGTTCCCATTGCTTACCCGTCATATCGATTGTTAATGTGCCAAGTTCTGCACACCTCTGTATTTTGTTGCCCCATCCCCATGACAGCAATAAAATGTTAAACTAGTAAATAAAATAAAAAACGTTAGGAGTATTGAGATTTTTTTTTTTGACAATATTATCACATATCATCAAGTGATTTTATCTTGAATTCTTTTAACTTATTTTTATACGAGTTTTTAATTAAATTATGTCTGAATTGAAGTGAATTAATCAATTTAATCGGTTAAAGAAATAATTTGAATAATCAATAAAAATATCATTTCATTTTAAAAAATATTAAGACTATATCTAATTGGATTGATCCCAATGACCCTACAACTTAGATTATAGACGTTAATAAATTAAATAATTTTGTTTTTTTATAAAGTATTTGTTATATTGAATTTTATGATAAAAATAAATATTTATAAAATTAAGTATCAATCATAAAAAAAAAAATATTTGAGATTGTGATAACTCTATAAAAAATAAACAAAAATAAACTATGAATCTCACTTTTAAACTCATCTAAAATTAAAAAGCAATAAAACAATTAAAACATATCAGAGGATCAAAACTTAAAACAAAATATATTAGATTTAACAAGTACAACTACCAAACTCATAAATCAAGTAATCTCGATTAACACGTTAAACCCGCAAATTAGGTAATAGACTCTATTGGGATTAATAACTTATTTTTAAAAAAAATATTATTTATTTAACTATATAATAATAAAAATAAATATTAAAAAATATTATTTATTTAACTATGTAATAATAAAAATAAACAATTGTAAAATCAAGTGTCAAATCATATAGAGTAAAATAAAATTAATTATAAAACTCAATTATTAATCAGCACAATATCAAACTATTAAATAAAAAAATTAAAAAAAAATAAAAGTTAAATTTATCAAACCTATGAAGAGACCTATGAACTTTCTAAAATTTAATAATTTTTTTTTAAAATTGATTTTTTTAATTATAAAATAATAAAAATAGATAATCAATTCAATAAAAAAAAAAGATATCCTAGCAAACCTGTAAACTAGAGTAATTTGAGTTATTTCACTAAACAAATGAGACTATTAACTTCACAAAAATTAATAAACATAATTTTTTTATTTAACTAAACTTTGTTAAAAAATAGAACATATATGTAACGTTGAGATATTTTTCTAATAACAATTCAGTGTTAGGATTTTTTTTAATATCATAATAATTATATAAAAATTAAATTAAAATAAATTATCAACTCTAAATCTCAATAACAGATTAAAGTAAAAAAAACTAATAAGTATAAAAAAAAATACCATGTTTTACTCGTACACTTTATACTCAACATAGCAGAACCATCATACATGGCTGCCTCTATGGAGTTAATTTTGGCTAGTGTTTCTGTGATTGTTCATGGAGATTTAAAATAAAAATGTTATTGGAATAGTTTTAAAATGAAAAGGACGCGGGGCATGATTTTTATATTCTCACCGAGATAAATGCCTCTAAGATAAAAAGCTGGGGGATACAGGGTGTGTTAAAACAACACATGTCTTCGTCACGTCTCATGGTTTTTCAACCACCGAACGCAACAATGACGTGTACTTGTCAAGGGAATGACATGTCATTCGTGGATTATAAACTTGCCCGCTTCGTTTTCTGAAGGAAAAATACCCGCCACTGTTAACTCTTTTTGGCAACGGAGGGAGAGATCAGAAAATACGGTGCAGAAGAAAAATCCAGAGGAAGAAAGTCTCCCATAAACCGAACGGTTGATGGAAGCTCATAATCTCTTGCTTTCCATTTCATGAAGCGACCTTCGATTTCTGAGCGGCGGGCCTTCGTAAGCAGGTGGCCTGCCAAGTGTTCGAAGAAATTCCTGAGAGCAACTGGGACACATTTATCACTTTTAAATGTTTCTTGAAATCTAATGTCCAAGGCAATGGACTGGAAGTTGACATCTATCAGTTTACAACCTATACTGCCAACGGCAAGTAATGTCTTAAAGAGTAGCAGCATGATTTTGATGGCACATTGCAGTACAAGAATCTGCTACAGAAAGATACCCAAAAACATTCGTTATCCGCGACGCTCCAAGCTTCCTCCTGATTTTGGAGTGAATTTGTTCTTGAAGAAGCCTCAAATAGATTCAGTTCAAGATCACAGTGATGACTTGACTAAGGAGGAGGAGGAGGAAATTGAAGTAAATAATGGCGAGATAGTTTGGGAATCAGAAGAGCTTGAAGCAATATCATCTCTTTTTCGGGGGAGAATCCCTCAAAAACCTGGGAAACTAGGTAGAGAAAGACCTCTCCCTCTTCCTGTTCCTTACAAGTTAAGACCTTTAGGACTTCCTGCACCGAAAAAACATGTTAATAAACAGGTTTCCTTGAGTCGGGCATCTATATCCAATCAAATTTATAAGAACCCAAGTTTTCTTATCGGTTTAGCCAAGGAGATTAAACGCCTTAGCCCAGATCAAGATGTGTCTGTAGTTCTTGATAAATGCTCTCGTTACCTGCACAAGGGGTCATTATCCTTAACAATTCGAGAGTTGGGTCATTTGGGTCTTCCTGAGAGAGCTCTGCAAACATTCTGTTGGGTTCAGAAGCAGTCTCGGCTTTTCCCTGATGATCGTGTTTTGGCTTCCACAGTCGAAGTTTTGGCAAGGAACGATGACTTGAAAGTGCCATTCAACTTGGAGAAGTTTACTAATTTGGCCAGCAGGAGAGTGATTGAAGCAATGGTAAAAGGGTTGATTAGAGGTGGTAGCTTAAAGCTTGCCTGGAAGCTTATTTCAGTTGCCAAGGATGGTAAAAGAATGTTAGACCCTAGTGTGTATGCAAAGATTATACTGGAGCTGGGGAAGAACCCCGATAAACATGTGCTTGCAGAAGCCCTATTGGATGAACTTGCGGAAAGAGAAGATTTGAATTTAAGCCAGCAGGATTGTACTGCTGTAATGAAAGTTTGCATTAAGCTTGGGAAATTTGAAGCTGTGGAAAGCCTGTTTAACTGGTTTAGACAATCCGGGCATGACCCAAGCGTAGTTATGTACACCACTCTTATTCACAGTCGTTACTCAGAGAGTAAATATAGGGAGGCGTTGGCTGTAGTTTGGGAAATGGAGGGTTCAGATTGTCTCTTTGATCTCACGGCTTATCGTGTGGTTATAAAGCTTTTTGTTGCCTTGAATGATCTGCCGAGGGCTGTAAGATATTTTTCGAAACTCAAGGAAGCAGGCCTCTCTCCGACATATGACATATACAGAAACTTGATTACACTTTATATGGTTTCTGGACGGCTGGCAAAGTGCAAGGAGGTGTGGAAGGAGGCAGAAATGGCAGGATTCAAGTTTAGCAAGGAAATGGCAGCAGGGTTGTTGCAACTCAAAACAGAAACGAGGTTAGTTGAAACAAACACAGAGGAAACACAGACATTACCATTTTAGTGCAAGAACAAAGGAATTACTTGACAGTTAATAATCTCTGATGGGCAACTTATGAGATTTGAAACAACTGCACTGTAATTTATTGAGCACTTACTTTTATCATTTAATTATTCATGCATAGCGGCATGCCCATTTGAACAATATTACTTGAACGCGTTGCACATGTTAGTTTGAACTTTTCTTGATGCCTGGGACATCAAATGACAAACTCTCACTTACACTAGCTATTAATTCTAGTTTATGGAGGTTATTTTGGCAGCTTCTCAGACCCTTCATCTACTAGCATTGCATTGTTCTTGAAAAACAAATCGACTTTTGTGTTTTGCCCACATTCCACATATAGAATTGCGTAACTGATATAAATGATTATGATAAACCATCTGACCTGCCGACCCACATTTACAGAATGCATTAACCAAGCCGCACAAACTCATGGAATTGATGAATGTGC